CAGCCCACACCTAGGGAGTGAACAGACATGCTTTACTTCCTTCAGAATGGAATATATAGATTTGGAAAAATGTTGAATTGTTCTGCATGGAATATTTGTCTATTCTCACTACGTTGCTTAAATCATTAATTCATATCAGTATATACTATTAAATATTTGTTTTGTACTTTGAGTTATAGTCCAATATGACTTGGTTCATTTTGCTGTTCTAATTGTTCCAGCTTTGGCCATAAGTTATTTTGGTGGTTTTCAACTTTGATATTATTATTCTATATATTTTGTTAAATTTATACCTAAGTATTTGATCTCTGGATACTATTATGTGATATTTTCAAATTTCAAATTCTAATTTTATAATTTCTGGTAGACAGGAAAGCAATTGGATTTTTTAAAAAAATGCTTTAATATTAGTGCTACTGTGATATGTTGATATAACATTGTGTAAATTTGATGTGTCCAATAGGTTAGTTTGATATACTTATATATTGCAATATAATTACCACTGTAGTGTTAGCTAACACCTCCATCACATCACATCATTATCATTTTTGTGTGGGGAGAAGAGTTAAAATATACTCTGCTTGCAATTTTCATGTGTACAATACAGCAGCGTTTCCTATAATCACAATGCAGTTCACTAGGACCCCAGAACATATACATATCCTAACTGGGAATTGGCATTCATAAAACCTTGCTGTAGTTGCTTTAAAAAAAATTCTTTGGGATTTTTTTGTATAGATGATCCTATCATCTATGAAAAGAAATAGTTTTACATTTTCTTTTTCTAAAATTTATACTTTTATATTCATTTCTTGTCATGCGGTACTAGCTAGGACTCTCTGTCTGATGTTGAATAGGAGTGGTAATTAGAAACATCCTTGCCTTGTTTGGTTTCCTTGGGGGAAAGCATCTCATTATTCATCACTGAATATGATAACTGTAGGTTTGAATAGACATTCTTCATCAACTTGGAAAAGTTCTCCACCCTTCCTAGTTTCCTTACTTTAAGTACTGGGATAGGTGATGACTCTCAATATTGTCATAACATTCTATTACATTTACAAAACCACCAGAAGCACCACTCAGCTCTCCGAAGCGTTCAGCAAACACAGTGCCAATTCTCTAGAATTGGCTAGTTGGCTTTTAGTGTGCTTACTGGACTCTCAGAAACATGAAATCAGGGGCTCTATTTTCATTTCTGTTTGTTTTATCCCACACAACACATAATCCAGGCCCCTACATAAAATCCACATTGCATATAATTTTTGAGAGGATGGGTGAATAAAAGATGAATGAATTCTTACATCCGCATGTCAGTTGGTGGGAGTTGTTGCTAGGTAAAACAATATCTCATTGCAGTGGTAATTTCAATACCTTTTGCTTACCTCTTTTGTTCAGGTGTATCACCATACTTTACTATTGGCTTCTTCCTCTTCCCTCTAGTAAATTTATATGGAGAGCTCACCAACTCTTACATATAGATTGATAATTTAATCAACAGAACTACCTTTTCATATTCACAGCATCCTCCCAATTTCTTCTTGAAGTATGTATTCAAGTGTACACCAGAGTGGGAGTCTTGGGGCCCATCTTTGCTGCTGTGGTACCACCCCAACAGCAAAGGCATTCCGACTTTAATCTATTTCCTTCCATTATCTTGCTGCCTCCAACTTCATGTAACTGAAGTGTCCATCCCTTAATTATCTGGGTAAATATGGTTTATCTTAGGGATATTCTAATTAATACTTTGACTTGCTTTATCTTTGATTACCTTCAGTCTCATTTTACTTACATTAGACTTTCTTGAAAGATACATTTTTTCCTTCTTCTTTTAGAGTCCCTTCCTTTTGTAAATATTATTTGATCTCTCCCCTTATAACTATTTAACTTTTTGTTTCCAACTTTTGATATAAAATTTTATCTAGTGCCAGAACTTGATTGTAAATTGTCCATGCATCAAACTATCTTGCAAAATCAAGAATTTACATTCCATTTTTAAATGAATTTTATTTTTTATTGACTTTTGAAAGAGAGAGGAAGGGAGAGAGAAACATCAACTTGTTATTCTACTTATTTATGCGTTCATTTGGTTGTACCCTAACCAGGGATCAAACCACATCCTTAGTGCATCAGGATGACTCTCTAACCAACCAAGCAACCTGGCCAGGACCATACCATTTTTTTTTTGTCCTAAAGGAAAAGCTAGACACCTATTTATTTCATAATTTTTTTCAAATATATGCACATTAATTGTGCACATACAATTTTATTATATGTTATACGATGATGTAAATACAGTATTCCTGCTCACAGTATGAAAATAAGTAGTACCATGGCAGAGTGGCAACTGTGTTATATTTTCCCTCATTTTTAACACCTTGTATGATTTTTATGTAAAAATCTGTCATACATACAGTTTTTCTTTTTTCTGGAAAATGTGAATAACATATATTTCATCAATTACATGCTTTCTTAGAGAAAATAAAAACCTGAGTGTAGAAACAAATTGTATTCCAAAATAAGATAATTATTCACTCTTTTGTACTTAGACATTGTATTAATTTGCTTAGGCTGCCATGACATACCACAAACTGGATGGCTTAAAAATCAGAAATGTCTGGCAGTTAAATGTTCAAGAACAAGGTGGGGGCAGGGTTGGTTTCTTCTGAACGTCTCTCCCTGGCCATTTATGGTCTTCTTCTCCCCTGTGTCCTCTTATGATCTTCGGTCTGTGTGTATCTCTAGCCTGATCTCTTTGTAAGGGCACTAGCCAGACTGGATTAGGCCCTGCGCTCACCACCTCATTTAACAAACTTATCTCTTTAAGGTTTCTGTCTCCATTTACTGACGTAATCTGAGATACTTGGAGTTAGAGACTCAAAATATGGATTTGAGGGAAGAAAAACACAAGTCAGCACATAAACACTCATGATGTGAACTAACTGCTTTGCACATGCTGTCTAAGGAGAAGGGAGGGATGCAGAATGCAGTGGGAGAGATGGAATTACTGAGATGAAGCTATGGGACTATGGGACCGCCATTTTGTAGCTACTGCAGGTGTAGAAGTAGTAGTGTGACCATGGGTGATGCTTTGATTGTTAGATTGTAATAGGCCATTCAGAGAAATGTGCTGAATATTTTCTTGGGTTGAAAGTGAAGGGCTCAGCCCTGACTGGTTTGGCTCAGTGGATAGAGTGTCGGCCTGCGGACTGAAGGGTCCCGGGTTCGATTCCAGTCAGGGGCATGTACTTTGGTTGTGGGCACATCCCCAGTAGGGGGTGTGCAGGAGGCAGCTGATCGATGTTTCTCTCTCATCGATGTTTCTAACTTTCTATCCCTCTCCCTTCTTTTCTGTAAAAAAATCAATAAAATATATTTTAAAAAAAAAGAAAGTGAAGGTCTCAAAAGAAACCATTTCCCAGCATTTGGCTTCCTTAAAGTTTTGAACATGTAACCCTACTCTATCTACTAGGTAGGAAGCCAGATCCAATGAGAAGCCTTTGGGTTTATACAAGTATTACTTTCAGAATAAGGGTAATAACTCACCTGTCAAACAATATTATCTTGGCATGATTTTTTTTTTTTCATGAATTGTGTCTTTCAGTTTATGGGCACCCATTAAACCTAATGGTCAACCTCTCTATAACCATCTTTGTCACTACCTATTTAAGGAAATAAAATTTTATTATAAAATTACAACTTTTCTAATTTAGGTCCCTAGTTTCTGAGATAAGAAAACAGACATATTATTGTTGGAGGGTGGGGTGAACAGGAATAGAAAAAAGTAAACTCTCTCCTTAAAGCAGAAGAAACAACTTTTTGAAAAAAATTCTTGGATATACTTTTCTAGTATTTCAGAAACTTTTTTTCCTCATCTTCTAACTATAGGGTGAACCAAATTAGTTATGTTAAAAAAAAAAAAAAAGTCTTACTGGCCATTTGCACTAAATGAAGAAGCTTCTTTCTTTTTTTAAAAAAAAAAAATATTTTATTGATTTTTTTACAGAGAGGAAGGGAGAGGGATAGAGAGTTAGAAACATCAATGAGAGAGAAACATCGATCAGCTGCCACCTGCACCCCTCCCACTAGGGATGTGCCTGCAGCCAAGGTACATGCCCTTGACCAGACTTGAACCTGGGACCCTTCAGTCTGCAGGCCAATGCTCTATCCACTGAGCCAAACCGGTCAGGGCAAGAAGCATCTTTCTACCCGAGTGGAACAACAGGAACTAAAACCTGTAAATGAAAAGATGCCGTCTCCTCTCACCATCACCCTCGCTGTCCATAAGTAGGACTTCGGTCAGAAGTAAGAATAACTTGTTTGTAGTTATAGTTATTCCATGTTATCATAGTTCTCTGGAATTCTTTCTTTCATCCACATGTTGAATGACTGACTGATGTATTTTCTCCACATGTGCGGTATTTGGCTCTGATCTGGTGTGCAGTGGGTCTTAGTTACCGGATCCTTCTCTCTGCTACATCAGATAAATTTGATTATTATTTAAATTGTACTACTTCCCCTGACTAATTTCTCTTTGGTTTCCTTTCTACTTGAGACTATCAATGGGCAAAATTTAATGTTTTACAATTCAGAGTATGATTTTTATACTCAGCTTAGTGGCTTAATGAGCCAAACATTTAAGAAAGGTAAATTGGGCCACTTGGTATGTTTTCATATAAGCAAAACAAACTACTTGTGTGCTTAGGTGTGGCTTCTGGAGGAACTTTCTAGAGCATTAAGTAGCCGGTTCTACCTTTTACAATGACATGAGTCTCTCTAGTCCTGTGATGCCAACTTTCCATCTTGCTAGGGTTGAAGGAGCTTGGGTTGGGGTGAAGTTGAGGTACCAACTTTGTTCTTCCAAGTGTATGGTAGGGGCTTTGCAGTTGCTACATACAAGGGTTAATTTAGTGTTCATTTGAACACATCAGAAGAGTTCAGGTTAGAATTTCAAAGGATATATACATCCTTGTTACCTTCCAATCTCAATTCTCCTCCCATGACATAAAACATCACTCTTCTTTAAAAGGATCATAAATGTATCCCAAATTAGCAGAACTAAATGCAGAACAACAAACAGCCCATATTTACCACAAGGAATAGGGTTAAAATCTATTCTCCAGTGACAAATCCCAACCCCGAGCAGATTTCAGCCAGGCAGCTAGCAGAGCGCGCGGGGTGAACTGCGCAGGCCATGGTGGGTGCAGAGCTCAGAGCCGGAAAGCAAACAGCTGCTGTAGCCTGATTTGAGTTAAAATAGTGTGAGTGTTTAGTCTGGCGCAGGCTTCAGGGGAGATTGGCAGCTGGGTCAAACAAAGTCCTTCCATTGGCTCTCTTCCCAGGCAGCTTCTGCTAGTATTTAGGTACTAGTGCAGTGTAAGGGCCCTTTTCTCAGGCAAAAACCTAACATCTGACCACACCCTCTTTTGCTTGCTTTTTCCAAAAAAGAAAGAAAGAAAGAAACCTTTTCTTCTTCTTCTTTCCTTACGATATTCTCCAATAGACAACCTCTCCCACTGGTTGTGTGTCAGCAATGTATTTTATCTCGAGAGCTGACGCACCGGGCTCTCAACGTGGTGTGGAAAGCTGCCTGTTACAGTGTTGGATTCATAAAAGGGCCTTTATGGTTCGTGAAAGAATATCTGTGTGCTTAGGCAGGAAACTTTTTGATCTGCAGAAAAGCCAGAAGACTTCTAGGTAAGGCTACCTATCAAATCTACTTTTTGGGGGGAGAAAGTGGGGAGCGAGCATGATTCCTCACAACCTACATGAGTTTGGAGCGTGCGTCTTCACTTTTGTAGAAGTTTAAAAGGTACTGACTGTTGTTTGCGTATTTTGTGTTTGTTTGTTTGTTTAAATCTGAAGAGAATCCTGTAGTCTGCATTTTTGCAATTTTCTTTTCTGCTGTTGAATGCATTGCAGTAGATATAGAGTTTTATTATATAGCAAAATCTTTGTAAACTGCCACAGAAGGAAAGTGTATTTAGAAGGGAAATTGACAAGTTTTAAAGAGTAATTGTACAATCATTTGAGGAGAGAGGAACACTGCATTAGACTAACAAGGGTTTAATTACCAAAAAAAGTTTAATGTTGCTTTGGAAGGAATATTAAGTAAGTTGTCTTTGTCTCTTACTTTTTAATTTTAGTCACTGATTTAGCCTGTTGGGTCACATTTTTTGTTAGTGCTGAAGGCTGCCATGAATCCCTAATGAGGCCCCTTTGCACATGATTTTGGCACTTGGCCAAAATCAACTTCCCAGCGGCAAGCTTTCTTTAAAGAACCTGGAGCAATTTTTTTTTTTTTTTATTAGAAATCATGTCTGAAAACTGCCACAACCAGTTGTGTAGGCATGTCAAAATGACTTTATACAGTAAATATGAAACAAGAATTTTTTTAAAAATGTTCCTGGTACTGTAGCTTTTGTTATTATGAATTCCTGCTTGTGGTCACCTAAAGTACGTCAGAGCAAGAACAACCTTAAAGAAGAAGATTTACTGATTTTTTTGTTTTTCTCAGCAGAACAGAGTAGGGATGGTTATCTCATTGAGATATATACAGTACGAAAGGGTTATTTAAAAACACTTCAGGATAAATAACAGATGAATTCTTAAAACTGTTAATCTCTGTAAGTAATACCCTCTGAACAGTAAGTAATGAAGTTTTCTAGAACTTTTGTTGTGCGAACAATCAAACTTAACATTTTTCATTTGGGATTTTTGTATATTTCAAATATGGTGTTTGGGATTCTAAAAATGTTAATATTTACTATGTAATTATAAAAATGTATTAACACTTTGATGTTATTTCTAACAAATGTTTTAATAGACATGTTTGCTATATTGACGTTTAAATAGTTGTATGTAATTGCTGTTTTGCCAAGAAAAGATGATTTTTCATGAAAGAAATTCTGAAGCTCAAAGGCACTTACGTGTAATTTTAAAGCTCTTAATTTGACTCTAACTGAATTTTGTCATGCAAGCCGATATGTTATTTTATACTTCGGTTTTTTAAGAGTTAAATTCACATGTTGCCATGAAATGCTATAGTAATCAGATATTAACAACCTCAGATTTTATATACCATTTTCAGTAGTACCTTTAGACATTAAAAAATAGAGTGCGGTATATTTAAAAGCAGAAAAATAGGATCTCGGTTACTCTGTTGTTATTTTAAGAAATCTTATTACCACTATTCTAAACACTACCTTGCTTTATATTTTTGTCAATGTTAATCTAGATTGAAACTTTATTTTTTACTTTAAAATAATCATATTTCTCTTTAAAATATTGATGAACACCTGATTTATTCTCTTTTAAGGAAGGATGAATTAAAGCTGTCTTCGTAGGTATATTTACATATATTTCTCACTATGTTTATCTTCCCTCTACTATTATACAAAGTAAAATGTTGCTAACTTGGGTCATAAAGAAATGTGAAAATTAACTTTAAGCAAATTTTAGCATTAGAGAATACATCTTGATTTCCTTCAGATCAATTTAGGTATATATATAATTTATGTGTATACAAAATATTTTTGGTATTGCTGTGAACTGAATTGATACTGTCTATACCTTGCTTGAGTTTGAAATTATCTTATCAGTCAACATTAAAATACATAGATGTTATAAAATGGGAAAAAGCAAATAAATATATATCTGCTCCTTACCAAAATGCACCTGGATAAGTTTTATACATACATCTATGTGAGTGCACAGTTGAATTCTCTTTTAATATACTACTTGGTATTTTTTTAAAAATGAGTTAACGTATAAGGTAGATATTTCAAAATTTGGATAAAAATGGAAACATTTTATCATTTGTTGTTATCAAACAGGTGCAGGAAAAATAAGATAGAGTGTCTTATTCTTGCTTATGAAATTATTTTTGCATTCTATTTTTATTTTAATCTTAGTTTCCATGTGCATATTTTCATCTGTTTTCACTTTTTAAATTATTTTTATCAAATATTTTACTTATTTTAAGGCCGGCTATCTCCCTAAAATACACTAAGAGATGAAATTTTCAACTGAAATTTTTCTTTTTTGGTCAATTAGAGACTATAGCAAAGTAAATGTCAGGACATTTAGAACTTTCAGAGTAAACAGACATGTTAGTTTGTGAGTTCAGAAGAAGCTTAATTGTTCACAATTCCTGACAAATAGTTTTGAGTTGAGGTAGAAACAAGTAAGTATTGAGGATAATGTACATTATACTCTTTACTGAAAAAGGTAAGAAATTTACTTTCTTTTGTTACAGCTATGAATTATAATTGAGTATTTCAATAGTGTAGGCTTTTGGAAGAATTATTAGCTAATTTTCCCTGGGACCATAAATGTAAAGCACTGAAAACATTTTCTTCATTGAGTTGGCATTTTAAAAACAATATTCTGAATAAAATTACTTAAAAAAATCAATATGTTTGTTAAATGTATTCCATTTGTGAGGAATAGCTTGAAGAATTTACTTCATTCATCATATTCCCACCCTTCTGTAAATATTAAAACCTATTCCATTTTACAGTGTGGAAACTTTTTCACTCTTCAGAAAAAGTGGAATTCCTTTGTAGTTGTCAATTTAGATTATGGGCCTTTACCATTTTAAATGTGACAGGGTTTTTGTTTGTTTCAATTATGCAACAGGCACATAAAATGCTTTCTTTTCCCTAATTAAAAGAGACTTTAAATAATTAAGTATCTACTTTAATTTTGTATTGAAAAGAAAGCTTTATAACTGTAGTATTTTATTCACAATTTTAGAAATGTGAGAAATGTTTACAATGGGGCATTTTTGATGAGCGTTTAATCACTGAAATGAAATGCTTTGTTGGAAAGGGTTTAAATTCCAGCAATGAGATAAATGTATGGCCACATTAGATTGAACATAATTATTGAATTTTGGCACAACTTCAGTGACCTCTGCCATAAAAGATTAGCCTGTGTGGGATGATCGTGGATTTGAAGTAACAGAAGTAGATAAGACAAGCATGTGGGACACCAACCTTTGTTGTTGGGAGAAAGTATGTGCTAAAATAAAAGGAGATGCGTTTCATGTAAACTGCTGATAATAGTAATTTTTCATTTCATTAATACAACAAATCTTGAACATTAAAAATTAATTACAATTTGTAATGCATTTGTAAGATGTTTCCCATGGAATTAACTGCAGTGCTTTGTTCTTTTATGAGATAACTGTCATATTTCCAAGCAGCTAACATGTAGCTATAAATTAAATACCGAGTAATTTTTAAGTGTTGTGCTTTGATTTAAATACAATTATTATTGAATAAATGATTAATGTCCTCTGATTTTAAGTCTTTTTCATATTTGATTTGCACTTGTTGCATTCTTTTACTTAATATTGGTTTAATTTTCAAATTATCGTAAAGCAAATATTGCTATTTGATATAGTTTTTAAACATAGTAGGGTTTATTTTATAAGCAATCTGACCTATTGTATATTTAAACAATGGTGATTTATGTCTAGCTGTATATGCTCTCAAAATCAAGATCAGCAAAAGGTCTTCTTTTTCAGTGTCCAAAATTTTTCTAAAAAAAAATTGAGTTATCTCTTGTTTATGTATGTGTTCAGGTATCTGCCTACCTCCTGAGATATCTGGCTTGTGAGCTATAGGCTGGAAAGCATAGTAGCAGGATCTAAGTTTATTTTTATTCTGTATTATTCTAAATAAATAAAAATTTTGAGTTTCCCATTGAAAGCTAGTCTATGTATGAATCAATATAGATGATTATATCAAATTTGATGATTTGGATAATTTAAAGCACTAAATATTCAGCATAAGTTAGTGGTCATTTACATGCTTGTGTAGTTATTATAAATATTTAATTATTATTGGTTTTAAAGATATGCTAGTTTATAGAAAATCTGGAATGCCATTATTTTACTTTAAAAACTATTAATATTTACCAAGTTCATAATTGCCTCCACTTTGCTATCATTGAAATGTTACATAATAGCTCTCTTTAAAAATACCATGAGCCTTACTTTCCTTTTCTCCCATTAACATAAGAGATCAACATGTGTTGGGGAGGAAGTGCTTTAAAATATTTCAAAATTTTGTTCTCCCGTGATGAACAGCTACTTTACTATTTTCTAAGATTCCTGAAGGAGCAAATGCATTTCTTGAAAGTTTATATAAAAGTGAGGCATAGATGGGCTTGCTCTGGACTTCAGTGAAAAAACTAAAATAGAAAATAAGATTGAGATTAATGACATGGTGCATTTTTATAGCAATTAATTGCAACTGGCTATTCATACATAAACAACAGTCTGGAAAGATAGACAACAGCTCTGAGAGGAGCCTTCATTTATTCTTCACTTAAGAACTGCTGAGAAAGTGGTGGCAAAAGATGGTTTGGGACCAGTCTGTATGGTCTATGGTGTTTTAGGCCAATGCTCTCATTTCCATATTTAAACCTTCTAGGCATACTTCAGAGCGCCATACCTAACCTCAGAAAATTTTACAGCTTGCAGCAGAACATACCCATTCTTGTTGCTCACTGGAGGGTATGAGATTGGGGTTTCTTTGGTGAGGAAGTGTTCTCTGTTTAGTGATTTTTTTTAAATCACTCTTTGGGTAGGTCAGCTCAATCAGTTGGCCAAATCATTTTAGTAACCAAGCTTACTCAGCCTTAGCAAGGATAATGAGTTTTCACTCTTCCCTAAACCTGGGAAGAGT